AGTTAAACCTGTCGACGATGGACAGTAAAAATACTAGAGTATCACAAATATGAATATAAAACTAGAATGTAAATCTAAAACATTTTAATTGAAGAAGACAGTACAATATAAAACACGGGGTAGAGATCGCCAACAACTGAAGGTAGATCACCATACTAGGGTCCATGGGGACTTACAGTACCTTTGCTACCTGCATGGACCTTAGTTGGATTTACACCACCTCTTCAGACCCTGGCGATTGCAGGAAGATTTAGCAGAAATTTAAAATAACAAACATACTACGATTACTACGACAATAATTTTACGCTACTTCAACCCCCTTTATTTTGAGGATACAGCCACAAACAATCTAACTTGATAATCTGAACGACCAATTATAAAACTTTCTCTATTTACAAAACATATATCAAAATTCATTTAACAAATCTATCTCTTTTAAAAAATTATGCTTAAATGATAATTGACTTTATTAAAAAGGTCCTTTACTGTTTTGATATTGAAATATTTATCCCTTATGATGGAACATTCAACACAGTCAAGCAGGACATGCTTGACCGTGGCTCTCTCATCACAAGGGATACAAAACGGAGGATCTCACTTTTCAATAGGTATGCATGAGCATATCTTGTGTGGCCAATACGACATCGTCGTATGATAATCTCTTCAAATCTGGACCCAAATAAGTGTAAGCGATATAGGGTTTTCTTTCATGTAATTTGTTAATACCTACTTGTGTGTCCCACTTCTTTTGCAACAGATCACGGATGTAGGTTCTAATGCTAGCTTTGTAATCAGAGTAAGAAATAAGAAGTGGTGTCACAGATTTGTTGAGTGCTGCCTTAACAGCAAAATCAGCCAGTGTATTCCCAGAAATGCCAACGTGGCTGGGTAACCAACAAAAGAGGATGTCGCATTGGCCAGTAGCAAGCTCATTATACAATTCAATAATTTCTAATAAAAGTGGATGTTTACAAGAAATATTTTTAATTGCCTGAAGACACGAAAGAGAATCGGAAAATATTATGTATTGTTTATATTTAGGGTGTTTATTAATATATTTAAGAGCTGTTAATATGGCGTTAGCTTCTGCTGTGAAAATTGAACTGTCATTGGGTAATCTGGAAGATACTGTTTTGGACCCAATGACAGTGGCACAAGCCACTGCGCCACCATCCTTGGACCCATCTGTAAATAATGATTTATATGTATTATATTTACTTTTAAATTGATTATATTCTTGTTTATATTGTAATTGATTTGTTTCCGATTTTTTAAATGTTGTAAGTGTTAAGTCAACTTCTGGTAGAACTAACTGCCAAGGAGGAGAAGAAAGAAGACGGTTAGGAGCTATATTGTCCAGCTCAATGCCGGCAGCAGCAATAAATGGCTTAATTTTGAGCCCAAGAGGCGGAACAAGAGAAGATTTTTTGTTGTACAAATCCTCATAAAGAGGATTAAAGACACAGCGAAATGCAGGATTAGACTCGTTAGAATCGTTGTATGTGTCTTTTCACCACAGTGAGCACATACAACAGACAATGTGCAAGTATTGACGCCATGACCGAACTTTTGGCATTTAAAACACCTTAGAGGGTTCGGAATGTACGTTTCTACATTGATGTTACAATAACCAGCTTTAAGAGATTTTGGAGCATTTGGTGAAGAAAATGAAAACAAGTAGGTATTGGTTTTTAAAACAGCATCATTTTTCCGGGTTGTGAAACGTTTTACATAGAGTACGCCTTGATCTTTCATCTCAGAGACAAGGTCAAGTTCTGACATATCTGCAAACAATCGGTGTCTGATGATTCCTTTGCTTGTGTTTAAAGTTTTATGAGCTGTGACTGTGGCTGGAACGCCAACAAACGATTCTGTACTCATAAGGTTGGCGTCTTGTTGCCGTTTTCCACACTCAACCAGCAGAGCACCGAAACGTAAACGTTTAATATTTTTAACTTCACCGGCAATGCCTTGAATACCCTTAGATATGGCAAAAGGGTTCAACTTTAATGGTGTCTTGTCAACAGTTTCAATTACAAGGAATCGTGGCCAGTATTCAATAGACGTGGACAGTCGTTGATCATTATCAACTGGATCAGTGTCCAGTGGACGTTTGTTTTTTTTCAAGGGGGTTTCCTAAGCCATGGTTAAGTTTTCAAGGTTCGTCATCCGAACTCCCCACACACCACGGAGTATCACAAGGACAATGCTAAAAACAAGCGGATCTCCGACTTGCAGCACCAAGGATACCCGGATGATATACTCAAGTAGAATAATCAAAAAGTAACTATTCCACCAGATTGAGCCACCGCCTTCTGGGCATAAGACTCTAGGCAAAAACAGTCATGAAATTGTGGATTTGAAATTCAGAGTTCACAAAATTATATACAATTGATCAAAATATCCAAGACCAATTTATAATTTAAATGTGCAAATATATTCGCCATGCACAGGGCTTGGCGTGACCAGCCGATTGATTGAACCGGGCCAGTTCAACCACCCGTCTAGGTGAAGTTAGGGCCGAAGTGGTGTGTTGGGCAAAGGAACACTGTTCCTGGAACCAGTGACCTCAACCACCAGACTACCTTCCTCCACCGACACAGGGGCGCAACCCACGCCAAATATACCCCGGGTCCACAACGGGGGGTCGAAGAGCGCTTAGCGTTACCCAGCACCCAACACGAGGAGGTGGCTCTTCACGGGTGCCCTGCTTTGACAGATTTCGGAGGATTTGGAGATGAGAATGAGAACAGATAAGTATTTGTTTGGATTGTTTCGTTGTTTCTGCGGGTTGTGAATCTTTTAACATATGTCACTCCCTGATCCTTCATCTCAGAAACAATATCTAGTTCTGACATATCAGCCAACAGTCGATCTCTGTCTCTGATTATGCCTTTACTAGTGTTCAGAGTTCTGTGGGCAGTGATAGAAACTGGAATTCCAACAAATAATTCTGTTGACATCAGGTTAGTTGCTTGCTGTTTTCTACTGCATTCAACCAGCAGAGAGCCTGAACGCAATCCTTTAATGTTGTTAACCTCACCTGCAATGCTATTGACACCCTTGGAAATTGCAAAAGGGTTCAGTTTCTGTGGAGCCTTGTCTACAGTCTCGATAAGCAGAAATCGTGGCCAATATTCGATTGAGTTGGAAGGACGTTCGTCATCATCATCGTTGTCAAGATGACGTTTGTTTCGTTTTAGGGGGGTTTTGTATTCCATAGTTAGTGTATAAGTTTCATCAACCGAGCTCCCCACACACCACGGAGTATCACAAGGACAATGCTAAAAGCAAGTGGGTTTCCGACTTGCAGCACCAAGGATACTCGGATGATATACTCCAGCAGAAAACTTAAAAGGTTAATTCTTCCACCAGATTGGCCAATGAGCCACCGCCTTCTGGCATAGGACTCTAGGCAATTTAATAAATTAAGGAATTTGTACACAGGAAATCAAAATTACCGATACCCAATAAGAGAAATGTGCAAAAATATTTTTTATGCACTGGGCATGGCGTGACCAGCCGATTGATAGAACCGGGCCAGTTCTACCACCCGTCTAGGTGAAGTAAGGGGCGAAGTGGCGTGTTGGGCAAAGGAACGCTGTTCCTGGAACCAGTGCCCTCAACCACCAGACTCCCGTCCTCCACCGACACAGGGGCGCAACCCACGGCAAACGGGCTGGGAGACCAAATATACCCCCGGGTCCACAACTGGGGGTTGAAGAGCGCTTAGCGTTACCCAGCACCCACCACGAGGAGGTGGCTGTTCACGGGTGCCTGTAGAACAACGCATAGTGGAGCAACCATATAGCTTCAATATATTGAGTGCAGAATAAAATGGAATTATTGAATCAGGCTTGCCTGTCTGTTGATTATCACCGGTTCTTTGCAGTATATCGGATTTTCGACTTTGTTGCTAACTTTCTTTTGGCCTTTGCTGCCATTATTATTGTGGTATAAAGATAAAGAAGTACGAATGTTTTGATTATGAAACAGACAGAGACGGTGTGGTAGCCTAGTACTTAAAGCATTGGCTGGTCACGCCCAAGACCCGGGTTTGATTCCCCACATGGGTATAAAGTGTAAACCCATTTCTGGTGTCCCAGCTATGATAATGCAGGAATATTACTAAAAGCGGCGTAAAACTCAACTCACCCACTATAGACTAGCGTTTGTTTCTAAATATTCTCACCTCTCGCCATCATGATCATTTCGTTCTTGTAACCACTGTCGATGTTAGCAAGGTAGGTGGAGAATAGTTCCTGTTGCTTGGTAACGTTCTTCAGGTAGTTGGGGTCTGGGTAGCCGCTACGGTGTGCGTCCTCTGGCCACTACAATCAATATGTTTGATTGACTAGAAGATTGTTATTATATTTGGTCTGTTTCGTGAATATTCATCAATGCATATCATCACATACATTCACCGTATACGTCTAAATGCTGTTCAGTTAGTCGAAGCGTTTTGTATAAAATTACAAAAAGAAAATTAATATTTTGCAATGTTTATGATGAAACCGTTTGGAAATAGATCTCAGTATGATTAAAAAAGGTTAGCTGAATATTTTGGGGATCATTTTGTAGTCAAGATTGAACACAAAATTTCATAAAAATGTCACCAAAGTATGCATGATCATCAACGGATTTTGTACTGTGATGACGTTATATAAGAAATGAAAAGGTTAATTCAGTAATTGTGCAGTCAATTGTATTTCCTAGTCTCCTAGTCATGGACAAGTATACTTGTAGGTTTCACCATTTCAGCCCCATTGGCACACACATTCACTGTACGTCTAAATACAGTTACGTTTTGTGCAAAATTACGAAAAGAAAATTAATCTTTTGCAATGTTTGAAAATATATCTCAGTGTGATCAAAAAGGTTAGTTGAATATTTTTGGGATCATTTGTAGTGAAGACTGAACAAAAAAAATGTCCCCAAAGTATGTATGATAACCAACGGGTTTTTCTACTGTGATCACGTTATATAAGCAAAAATCTTACATCCTGGAAGAGCCGTTCAAAATAATCTTCGTGAATCCAGCGCCCACTGTCAGTCCGAAAGCTCCGACAGTTTGGTATCAAGAATTCCTTCTCCAGACCATTGTGCTTGTCCCACCTGTCACTTTCATAGCGGACATTACCTCCCTGTGCCAACCACTGAGGGTAGATCGTCACAGTTGTGTCAGTGTTGACACACGTTGTCAGACACACTGTGAGAAAGACCTGTGTCCATTTCATCGTGAAGGGAATGTGATGTGCCATCACAAGCACACAGGTTTTAGGTCAGAATTCATGGGAATTATCCATAACGTTCCATACGTGTTAATACATGATAAGACCATTCGCTGGAATGTAGGTGTGGAGATAATGTAGCCTTGAAATAAGTGCATGTCACCCTGTCACTCAGATGTTATGAGTGAGTGAGTGAGTGTGTGACTGAGATGAGTTTTACGCCGCACTCAGCAATATTCCAGCTATATGGCGGCGGTCTGCAAATAATCGAGTCTGAACCAGACAATCAAGAGATCAACAGCATGAGCATCGATCTCTGCGATTGGGACACGATGACACGTGTCAACCAAGTGAGCGAGCCTGACAACCCAATGCTGTCGGTCGCCTCTTACGACAAGCATAGGTTACGGAAGATCAATTCTAACTCGGATCTTCACGGGTTCAGCTGTTATGAGGAAAGACGTAATTTAAAGGCTCTTGATATACACTTGTCACGTGGAAGACTAAACTGATAATTGTAAAATATCTATGTAATATCTAGGGATATTTTGCCATCGGATAACCATGGCTGTACAGCACTAGAGTCGTGACCCTGATATACCAACATGACAGAGCACGACATGACGACGGATTTAATAAAAGGGATCTATTTTACAATAAGTTTAAAAAATAATTTAGTGATCACGTAGTATTGTTTCACTGCTTGAAGCTATAAAACACCCCTTTGCCTTAAAACCAAACTGGTAAATAGTACCAAACTAATGTTAATTTGATCAATGTTTCTACTTGCATTACAAAGGTGAGCGTTTTTGTTTGGGTCATCTAGATTTTATTACCAACCTTACATTTACTAATCTCATTTGTGTACACCGAGTTAAAATGAATTAAATTTTGCAATTGCACAACAGTGTTGATTTTGGGTAAATATATGGGGTCTGGGAATAAAGAAAAGACCGCTTGTACTTTCATGTCCCCCCTCCCCTCATCTCATCTCATCCAGTCATTTTCATTTTGCCCCAATTCAGCTCCCACAACCCACTAAAACCTCCACAAAAGTACAAAAGTAGTATACACGCACAAATGAAGTCCAGGAATACAAAACTAGTCCAACACAAAAGTAGCCACACACACACATATGCCTCCGGTGGAAGTGCACCCCAATTAGAGATGTGCAGGTGTATGGATATAGAACAAACCACAATGCCGGGAACCAAGCTATCGCAAGAAGCCTATTTGTCTCTTGTCTATGTCAAGTTTATAATTCCAAATAAATCCAACAAACTTTTTCCGGATAGTCTATTATATCGTTTTTTGTTATTTTTATTCCATTGGTTGTCAAACTTGATTTTAGAATGTTAAATTTGCAGTTTTCAAACGGAATACGACGATGAAGCCTTGGACGATGTTCAGTTTGTGAAACTATGTCCTCAATGTTGTCCTTAATATGCGATAGCTCTAAATAACATTAGACAAATGAAACATAGACAAAAAACAAAACAAATGAAAGCTTAAAGAAAACATTGAAACCCAAAACAACACACACAAAAAGGAAAACAGAAAAACCCCAACTCCAACCACCACCGCCTCTTCTCCATACTCTCATGTTAGAAATAAGTACATATAAAAATATTTTCTTTTATATCTTACAGAGTAAAAATGTTAATATCATCAAGGATGTTTGTCTACTTTTATACTATGTTGATAAGAAATACCAATCTTAATGAAATACATTGCCTATGTACTAGTTATCCATCAATTTATGTATATGTATTTTGAGCTGGAGACCGGTTACGGATTTAAGATTCGGTCCTGTTCGTTTAATTATGTCAATTACAACTGAGGAATGAGAAGTCAGAATTAGCACTACCCTCACTTCAAAAAGACAGGACAGGTTTTCTGCTGTGAGAAGGGCAATTACATGCCGGTTAAGGTATTATTTATATTCAATACAATACTCGCTGTTGTTGGGACCTAATTTGGTCTAATGACCTGAAAGTATAACAGTAATGACATAAAACGCATTGATGGAATTTCTGTAATGATTTATATTTGAGGCATTTGTCAGAATTAGTATCATTACTATGACTTCAGAAGTCAGCTTGAACCAGCTTGGCTGTGAATATTTCGTAGTCGTCGTCAAGCAAGAGGTTATAATATATCTTTACACAGTTTTCCAGCTTGTGCATACCTGCCACTATGTACTATAGTCACACAACAAAAATATACGAAACCGTTCATCATGTTTAATAATGTTTCAGACAAATAATTAGTCAGTATATACTCGTTATCACAGAATGTCAGAAGGGACAAGCTTGCCTGTGACAAGGGTGGCCGAAGTTACACGACCTTTCGACTCCTTGTTAGAGAAGTTAACCCGGACCACGTTAGAAGTGGATTTCAACAAGGTTGACGGAACATCAAACTCCCAAACATCCATGTAGTTGAAGATTTTACTGCTAGTTTTGTCGGAGTCAAACAGCTTGTAAAGACATCAAGATGTTGGTTGTTGAACGTAACAGATGCCAGACTGTTTGTTTCATTCATGGGAAGACTGACTGAAACTCGTAATCTCGCGCTGTCGAATTTATCATTAGGGATGGGTATGGTTGTCTGAGCGGTGCCGTCCTTAAGGGGTATAATGACATCACTCCCGTAGTACGTAGTTTCATTGAGTGTGACTTTAGGTAACTGGTGCGCTGGGGTCTTGAATGTATAGCGACAGGTTGCTTCAGGCGGTAAGACAATAACTCCACCACTTGTACCAATGTCTATGGGTTCGTTGAAGGTCATAACAGGATTCCAGTTGTCCTTGATGGTGATGCAAGTCGCTTCTCCCGTAGTCGGTTTGATCCAGTCGTTTTGGAAAACTAACCTGATGGTCTGAGGCTGCTGAGAATAGCTGAGTAAGAGAACAACGGTTTCATTACGCGAGGAACTTGACATTGCCAGTGGTGACACAGTTCGTTCATGAACGTCTACCTGACTGGTTGTTCTGATGAAGGAATACTCTGATGTGAAATTGTACCAAAATTTGAGGACATCAGTAATAGGTGTTGCGTTTCCTTGTAGGGTGAAATAAGACCAGTTGAGGCTTTCATGTCCTGGATATTGTCCATTGGCTGCCAACCACACCACCGTCCTATCAATGTATTCTCTGAGACCTAGTTGGGTGAATCTGTGGGCATTAGACTGGTATATTGTTGCAAACTCAACTATCCCAGAGGGAGCGGTCGAACTGATTCCCATCACTCCCCCGCGACCATATTCGCTGATAATAAGAGGCATAATCCTTCCTGTCTTTTGATGGATATAATTTTCAATGAGGTCAACAAATGCTACCAGACGTGCTTCATTTATCCCATTAAATTGGTGGGATCGTCCCGTTACATTTACTGCGTTGTATGAATGAAAGGAAAACACGTCTAAATGGTCTAAAGTTATGTCAAAGAAGTCCACCAGTTTTGTCCAGAAAGAAAAGTCATTCCTGTCCACCACTGTGTTATAGCCTGTAATTGTTGGACCAGCCACTTTAATGTTAAACCTGGCATGGAGTTTCTCAGCAACGGCTTTGTGGAAGAAGGCGACAGTCGTGCTGAAATCAAAGATCTCCTCTTTAACATCCGGTTCATTGACGACCTCGAAATATGCCGGGATGTGACCATGTGCGTAGTCATACACTCCTTGCACCATCAATAATATAAACTCCGCAGCTGCGTCGATGTTGTTCGGGAACTGACCATCATGCTCAGACTGATTTATCCAATTTGGCCAGTTGTGAGCTAAAATGTAAACGACACCGAAACTATTGAAACACATCTATGCTTGCTCTACAAAGAGAACAACGAGGAGAGTTCTATGGGTAATATACAACTTCTTTAATATTAACGTGGCGGTGGGGTAGCCTAATGCTTAAAGCTTTGGCTCGTCACGCCGAAGACCCGGGTTCGATTCCCCACATGGGTACAATGTGTGAAGCCCATTTCTGGTGTCCCCCGTCTTGATGTTGCTGGAATATTGCTAAAAGCGGCGTAAAACCAACTCAGTCAGTCAGTCTTTAATATTAGCATGAGCGGCGTTTCGGTGTAGCTACTAACACCATTATCAAGCAAGTATTAATATTAAAGAAGTTGTAAATGCCAACCAAAGAAGTAACAAAAAGAACACACAAACTTAAGTTTCTAGAGTAGAAACAAGACGTCGAGCTTAGTATCTTAGTTTGGCATTATGGAACTGCTTAATCACCGGTCAATACGGCTCGACCTTTGGTTCTTATCTTCTACCGATTGCCAAGCGAAAGAGCTGCGAAAGACATCATCAGCCGACTCGTCTCACCTTATCAAAATTAATGGCATAAGGAGGTAAAAAATTTGACAGATAATGCATAGCATGTTTGCTCATCAAACTGAAGGATCGGGTCCGATACACAATGGGTGATGCCCATGTATTCATGTCCCCGCCTAATGAAACAATGTAAACCAATGTTGTTCAGTTTTGGACATGCTGTATCAGGTTGTGGTTCTGTTTCAACAGTATTTCGGTATTATCAAGGCATGTAAGGCTGGCGTGTGAGAAAAGCCCAAGGTGATGATCTTTTGACTTTTTCCTACTCTGTATTGTCGAAAGAAACACCCTCATATTTGCTCATTTCATCTGCACGTCTTCCCTCCCCTTCTTTTCTAACATGTCACAGCATAAGCATGTCAACTAGGATGTAGAACAGTGAGTGAGTGAGTTAATATTTAACGTCACATCGGCAATATTTCAGCCATATCGTGACGAAAACAATGTATACAATATAAAAATGAAAACATTGTGAAGAGTTAAACCTGTCGACGATGGACAGTAAAAATACTAGAGTATCACAGATATGAATATAAAACTAGAATGTAAATCTTGAAGAAGACAGTACAATATAAAACACGGGGTAGAGATCGCCAATAACTGAAGGTAGATCACCATACTAGGGTCCATGGGGACTTACAGTACCTTTGCTACCTGCATGGACCTCAGTTGGATTTACATCATCCCTTCAGCCCCTGGCGATTGCAGGAAGATTTAGCCGAAATTTAAAATAACAAACATACT